GGCATTTTGGATTAATTGTAGAGGTTTGATAGAAGTGGCTGGAAGACCTGCCAAGAGAGCATTGCAATAGTCCAGCCTGGATAGAACAAGAGCTTCAACAAGGAGTTGTGTTGCATGTTCTGAAAGAAAGGGCCGGATCTTCCTAATGTTTTATAAATATATAAAAATTGATCAATTGTATCATTACGTTAATACTACACACATTCATGCTACATACAATGTCTGAAGAAGTTATTTTTCACATATAATACCCAGTCAAACAGTATGTGACTATGGATGAAGCAAAGTTTCTTTCAGGATTAGTTTTCTTGACAGGAAGGAAAATGAGGCTGTGAGGAATAGAAGTGCATTGTGTTAAATGGACTGTACTGACAAAACATCTTCCCAAAAGACTTTCAGTAGACAAAAACTCCATAAGACAAGTTTGAAAGTTGTGAGTTGTGATTTAGGATCTTTATACAGTGCATACCATTGTAAATACTTTTTTATTTGTTTTATTTATTTATTTATTTTTTTATCTTCTTTGTTTTGGTTTTTGGGTCAAACCCTATGTGATCACTGTCTGTGCTCTTTTTATTATTATTATTATTATTATTATTATTGTTATTTATAGTATTACTAGGTTGCAGTAAACTAGTGGTAACAACTAATTCAAACACAACAAGCACTGCTTAAAGGGATAGTTCACCAAAAAAATGTCTCAAGTTGTTCCAATTATGACAGAATTTTAATTTTTGGGTGTGATAATAAGGCTTGTTTTCATATAATACATCTGTTTTTATTATTATTTTTTTTTTTTTAAGAAATGATACAATGTTCACATGCATTTCAAGATGTCTCATTTGTTTTCAGAAATTCTCACACAACAGTGTCTGATGTCCACTGACCTTTGCATCGGCCCCTGTGGGCGAGGGTGAGCGTGCGGTCCTTGCATTTCGCCCTCTCCAGGTCACAGTTGGTATCATAACTGCGTCCATCTGACCCACACACAGGCTTGCCGTGACTCCTGGAGCACGCAGGGGAACATGGGCTCTCTCTGTCCCCTATAAGCCACTGCAAACACATGTAAACATATATGAAATATATTTAAATAGAGCACTGAGGGCATGACTGTGTAATAAGGCATGGATCACTTGAAAGAAGACCCTGACTAGACTCTAATGAGTGTGCAATAAATTAAACAGAGCTGCTGAGCTGCAGCTCAATGAGTTTCACAGCTTTTAGTAGCAGGAAGACTCAGATTGCTTAGTGCAATTTCTGTTTTGAGTTATAAGAACAAATACATTCAAATAAATAGAAGAGACAGGCAAATATAAACATGTTATACAGACTCAAACTGAAATTCTAAACTAACAAATAAACAAATAAACTAACATAAACTAGTCCATAAACTAACAAACTACACTATAAACAAATAAATCTGTAGAAAATTGGTTGAAAACCAATAACCAGTACCTTCCTATCAATCACACACACA